CCGTTAAAGAAAAAGAAGAAGAGAGAGAAAAAAAAAGAAGAAAAAATCGGGTCGGTCCGGAATCAAAGGCTACGAGGAGGCCTAACATCGCGATGGATCGTGATCAAAGTGATCCAAGATCCATCCGCACTAAGTCGTACACCAATACACCGCATCGCGCGCGGCAGAAAAAATCTCTCGTCGCGATGACGCGCGCTTTCAATCCCGTCAACCGAGACCCACTTCGGATGGCTTCAGTAACGCGGAGCTCGCAATTAAAACGCACTGTCAACGCCAGCGTTTACCGCATCCATCAGACCGAAGATGGAAAGCGTGTCAAGAAGCGGCTCCGATCTACCCCCAACCCTCCGGCATAGCGGGTGGCGAAAGGGTGGAGGCGTCCACTCGACGCTCTATACTCTCCCTCCCCCTCTTCCCTCCCCTTGTAGTGCGCTCGCTCAAAAATGCATTTTTCAGGCATGATATTGACGAACTGACAATTAGCGCGGATATGGGGTAAACCACACGCAACATGACGCATAGACACATTCACACATACTCCTTTTCCCCCCTCCCATCTGTTTTTCTCTTTCTCTTTTTATCGGACTCTTTATTGAATGACGCAAAGAAATAAAGAAATTTGAAGACGGAAAAATTTAAGAATCCAATTGAAGATAAATTCGAAACTCATCATCATGTCGATCAATAGTAATTATCGTTAATTATAGTTTCATTATTACTGAGAGAGATGAGAACTTCATTATTCGAAGAACTTCTTTATTATAGACAATTATTTCACAAAAGAGGCCAAGAATTAAAAAATAAGGTTAAGAAATTGAAATTAAGTTTCGTAAAATCGTTGTGTAAAATCGACATGTAATTATGCCTTTTAAAAACTTTAGCAAGTGAACTTCATGCATTAATAACTGTTGCTATAATCATTTTTCACTTGAGAAGAGACATTCAAGCAAATATAAACGTTATCTGTCATTCTTTATACACAGCTACAAATTAGACAACAAAGTTTCCTTTTGCTTCATTACGTCTGTAATATAAAAATACACATAGAGCGATATTCTTTTTAAATAAAGAAATAAGATTAACACACACACAATAATTACAAGTAATTAGAAATTACAATTTAATTATAAACTACAATTTTATTTTAAATAGCAGGAATTAACTTAATCTTTTGCTTTATCGATTGCGATACGATTGAAATAAGCAAATATACCATTCGCTATTCTCATTCTAATCGTCGCATACATTATGACACACGTGACGTCTAGTCATACACTGACATTTTACCAATCAAAATTCGACCCAAATCGAAATTAGCCCGTCGAGTACGTGTCGATAATCTCACATATTGCACATCACATCACATCGATATAATATCATATTTTACAAGGTCTGAACGCTTTAATATGTGTCACTCGCGCTTTAGGAAATCGCAGCGTTTTTATCCTGACAGCTCGTAAGATATTCCGGAATCGGAGATAGCGATATATATTATATACACAAAACACACACACACACACACACACACACACACACACACACTCTCTATATATATATATATA